GCAGGGCATGGGGGAGTGGGTCTCTGGGGTGCCTGGGGGGGAGTGCTAGGCTGTGAAAGGGTGGGGAAGATCTTTGTGTGTTGGGGCACTAGGGAGTGGGGGTTCTGTGTGGGGTGCTGGGCAGTTTTGTTAGGGCTGTGGGCAGGGGGGCGCAGGGCAAGGGTGGTGGTGTGCATTTGTGGACAGGATGTCGGGGGGGTGTTGGGCGGGGTGGGGGAGGGGGATGTGTGGTGCGGTGTGGGATCACCCCTGAGGGGAAGGGGCATACTGGCTGCATAGGGCCAGGTGGGCCACTGTGTGTCTGGCAACTGCTGGTTTGTAAATAGTGCCCTTGCACTGGGCTGGGTGAAGTGGGGCTGCCCCTGCAATGTCATGCCCCTGTCTGGCCCCTTGCTCCGAAGACCGCCCCCCCCCCCCCACCCCGTGCCATGCTCCATTGCCTCCATGGGAGCCCACACATATGTTTGGCACCTGGCCCATAAAAGGTTAATCCAGCCCTGGCCACTGTAGTTTTTTAAGAGCAGAGACACCCTAAAGCTAATCTGTCCTCCGGTGTCTGTCTCTCTCCTACCTGCACTACAGGGCTTCTACCTAGGACCTTCCCCACCCCTCCTGCTACAGATATAAAGAAGCAGAAAACATACTAGCTGCATAAGGAGGCCTGATCTCTATCTGAGACAGGAGAGCTCCTGGGATTTAACAGTGTCGCCAATTTTCATGACTTTATCATGAGTCTCATGATAGTCGGTGTTTGTCTTAAAGCTCCAGCTCCTGGAGTAAGTTTCTAGCCCTCATGGCTGGAGAGAAACGCTTGACAATGGGAGCCATAAAGGCCCACGAACCAGAAAACAAATAAAAAGAAACCAACATTTAGTATTTTTAAAAATCTCATGATCTTTAATCCAATCTTTAACCAAGGGGTTACAGTGGATGAGAAGCTGGATATGAGTCAACAGTGTGCCCTTGTTGCCAAGAAGGCCAATGGCATTTTGGGATGTATAAGTAGGGGCATTGCCTGCAGATCGAGGGACATGATCGTTCCCCTCTATTCGACATTGGTGAGGCCTCATCTGGAGTACTGTGTCCAGTTTTGTGCCCCACACTACAAGAAGGATGTGGAAAAATTGGAAAGCATCCAGCGGAGGGCAACAAAAATGATTAGGGGACTGGAACACATGACTTATGAGGAGAGGCTGAGGGAACTGGGATTGTTTTGTCTGCGGAAGAGAAGAATGAGGGGGGATTTGATAGCTGCTTTCAACTACCTGAAAGGGGGTTCCAAAGAGGATGTCTCTAGACTGTTCTCAGTGGTAGCAGATGACAGAACAAGGAGTAATGGTCTCAAGTTGCAGTGGGGGAGATTTAGGTTGGATATTAGGAAAAACTTTTTCACTAGGAGGGTGGTGAAACACTGGAATGTGTTACCTAGGGAGGTGGTGGAATCTTCTTCCTTAGAAGTTTTTAAGGTCAGGCTTGACAAAGCTCTGGCTGTGATGATTTAGTTGGGGATTGGTCCTGCTTTGAGCAGGGGGTTGGACTAGATGACCATCTGAGGTCCCTTCCAACCCTGATAGTCTATGATATTCTATGAATCTCATGATTTTTGCAATGCTTGGGATTGGCAATAGTGGGACTGTAATGCCCCTTCCCCACCCAACCCCAGGCAGCCAAGCTTCCTGCCCTGAGGAGGAAATTCAGCAGAGCTTAAATTTAGAAACAGGAACAACTCAAATTACCTGCCACCCCTTTACATTCTGTCCCCAGAGCTCTTCTTCCTGCTCTGTATCCGGCCCTAACCACGACCACTGCAGTGCGCTAAAGGTGTTACAGATATCCTGCTTCGTGGAACTGAGGAAGCTAGAAGAGAAGGAAATGGTGAGGGGGCATGAAAGGAGCCAGAGGGAGGGTAGGGAGAGGTCTGATACCAGAGCATGGTGGCCCCAACACCATCTCTGAAGCCACCTGAGGTATGGGGTTTTTGTTAGGGAAACACAGGGGGCTTTGCTCTCTGGCCCTGTCTGTTCTTCCCAAGTCCTGCTTCCCCCCACTGTCCTGTGGTTACATGGGTGACTTTGTTCTCCAGCACCATCCCTCCTGTTTCCTGCAAACCTGCACCATCCCAGGAATACCCAAGGGGGACTTTGCTCTCCTAGCCATGTCTGTCCCTCCTTTCTCCCGTAACTTGCAACCCCCACATTTCATGGCTGCAAAATCACAAAGCACAAGGGCTGCAGGTGAGAAAGATAGATCCAGAGAATGAGGAAGGATGGTAGCAGAGGAAGCAGGGCCAAGAAGAGGGGAGCCTTCACCCCCCCCGGCGGTGTATACCTAAACCTGTCCCTCTTCCTAGCTCTGCTGCTGTACCATTCCTCCTCTTTCTTGGGATCCATCTATATCACCTGTGGTCCTTTCTGTATTTTGTGATTCTGCAGCCATGGAGTGTGCCTTACATAGAGTCCACTCCTGGCTCCAGAGCTTGAACGTTCATTTATATAAATAAGGGCCAGATTCTCTGGCCCACAAAGTTCATTTTGCACTGTGTAAAGCAGTGCATGGTGAACTTACAGAGTCCCACAGGGCAATTTCCCTACACCCAGAGAATCTCTGCCAATGGAAAGTTGATGGAGGCAGTGAAGATGGGGGAGGGGCCATTTTGGTGACAGACTGATGCATGTTGAGAGTGGGAGAGAAAATGGTAGAGCCAGCAGTAGAAGTTAGAGTAACTGCTGCAAGGCAGCCAAGGATCAGGGAGCCACAACCGGTTCCAATGGCCTCTTCCCTGCACTACGTTCAAGCACAGGGGAGAACAGGACCCTACATATTTTTCTGGCTCTTACATGCAGGGTAGGTTTGCACCAGATATGCTACAGAGCAACAGCTGCCTCGCTGTAGTGCAGACACTTACTGCATCGATGTAGTTCTTCCGCAGGTGTAGTTAATCCACCTAGAATCATAGAATCATAGAATATCATGGTTGGAAGGGACCTCAGAAGGTCATCTAGTCCAACCCCCTGCTCAAAAACAGGTCCCATACCCAATTAAATCATCCCAGCCAGGGCTTTGTCAAGCCTGACCTTAAAAACTTCTAGGGAAGGAGATTCCACCACCTCCCTAGGCAACGCATTCCAGTGTTTCACCACCCTCCTAGTGAAAAAGTTTTTCCTAATATCCAACCTAAACCTCCCCCACTGCAACTTGAGACCATTACTCCTTGTCCTGTCCTCTTCCACCACTGAGAATAGTCTAGAACCATCCTCTCTGGAACTACCTCTCAGGTAGTTGAAAGCAGCTATCAAATCCCCCCTCATTCTTCTCTTCTGCAGACTAAATAATCCCAGTTCCCTCAGCCTCTCCTCATAAGTCATGTGTTCCAGACCCCTAATCATTTTTGTTGCCCTTCGCTGGACTCTCTCCAATTTATCCACATCCTTCTTGTAGTGTGGGGCCCAAAACTGGACACAGTACTCCAGATGAGGCCTCACCAATGTCGAATAGAGGGGGACGATCACGTCCCTCGATCTGCTCACTATGCCCCTACTTATACATCCCAAAATGCCATTGGCCTTCTTGGCAACAAGGGCACACTGCTGGCTCATATCCAGCTTCTCGTCCCCTGTCACCCCTAGGTCCTTTTCCGCAGAACTGCTGCCTAGCCATTCGGTCCCTAGTCTGTAGCTGTGCATTGGGTTCTTCCGTCCTAAGTGCAGGACCCTGCACTTATCCTTATTGAACCTCATCAGATTTCTTTTGGCCCAATCCTCCATTTGTCTAGGTCCCTCTGTATCCTATCCCTCTGTAACCTCTCTAAGGCCAGGCCTAAACTACAGACCTATGTAGGTGTAACTGTGTCACTCACAGGTGTGGAAAATACACACCCCTGGGCGATGTAATTATACCAATCTTAACCCCTGGTGTAGACAGCACTGTGTTGACAGGAGAGCTTCTCCTGCCGACATAGCTACCGCTTCTCGGGGAGGAGTTTTAACTATGCCGACAGGAGAGCTCTCTTCTGTCGGCATAGAAGTGTCTTCACTTAAGTGCTACAGCAGTGTTTTAAGTATAGACCTGCCCCGAGAGACAGTAGCTAGAATTCTTCCATCAGCATAGCAGTGTCCACACTGGGTCTTAGGTCATCTTAATTACATCGCCCAGGGTGTGAAATTTATCAACTTTTTATTCAGACCTTAGACCTTTGGGTTTTGTTTCCATGATTTTCAGATTTCAGTTAACAGCTGTTTAATTCAAATGCAATAAACACTTGGGAGAAAAACGCTTTTTACTACTATTTCTACACCTCCCCTTCTTCCCCGCTCTACATTTCTGAGAATCCCAACAAGTCCTCCAGGGAACACCAGACTTGATAGTCATGAGATTTCTAAGGTAAAAAACAAAAACAAACTAACTAACCAGAAAACCCTTTAAAAAGAGCTTTCCAAGCTGTCTGTATCCATCACAAAGCAGCAATTAAGGCCAGATTTTTGCTCTGCCTTTGCAGGCCCTCTAGCCTCCCCTCGGCCCATTCAAGCTCAAAGTTTCCCCTGTCTTCTCAGAAAGGAAGGGAAAGAGGAGATGCAGCCCCTACCTGGGGCAAAGGCCTCAACTGCCACCTGGGTGCAGGAACCCCATAGTGCCTTTCCAAGTGCAGAAAGGCCAAACCACTGCTGTGCTGCTGAAAATCCTCCAGCACCCCCCACTCCCACAACTTTGACAGAAAGCAGTTTCATGTGATAATTCAGAAACCTGCAGCCCCAGGAGAACTGGAAATCTAGGGACAGTGTAAAATACACTGAATTCGGTATCAAACTCCAGGGAGAACACACTGGCTGGATTCTTCATTGTCATATTGAATTCACCTGTCTCAGTGATAGAATTTCCACCTAGCTGTGCTGGAGCACAGCAGATACCAGGGGCATTGACCAAGTACGTAGGCCCAGCCATGGAGCCACAAGACTTGGAAAATAAACCACTATTAATAGTTCATTTGGGTTTTTCTGCATTAGGATCCCTTTACCTGGACGATATTTCCTGCTCATAGTTCTCGGAGGGAAGGAACAATCCAAGAGGATGAACCCATCCAGAGTCGTGGCATACAGCATCCTTGCTGTCTTCTCTGTGATGCAGCTCGGTGAGTCCCTGGCTGGGCAGGGTGTGGTGCAGCAGCTTGGGTATTTTTAGGCTCTTTACGATCTCCTGGTTTCCTGCTTCAAACTAAACAAGTTTTGCCATTTTTTTAAATGGCTGCCATATCCGATTACTGATAATGGGACTGAATCCACAAGCCTAAAATGGCCTTATTAGGTAAAAGTGAAGCCACCACTATGCAGCTACATGTGATAATACAGAAACCTGCAGCCCCAGGAGAACTGGAAATCTAGGGACAGTGTAAAATACACTGAATTCGATATCAATACCAGGGAAAACACACTGGCTGGATCACCACACCAAAAAAGATGGCCCCTCTTAAGGTGTGTCTTCCCTGCACAGGTAACTTAGATGATCAGCACCCATGTCTGAGCACGTGGGTTAGCGTAGCCCGGGTGTGAGCAGCCATACTTCAAAACCATAACCTGTATGACTGTGACCTCACTGCCACGGCATTCACCCGTGGGTGTCTCTAGGACTCCTGGGGGCACATCCCCAGGTTCTTTATGCTGCAATAAACTGAGCTGTTTCATAATTCTTTCCCAGTGAATTGTGGGAGGACACAGGGGGAGGGGAGGAGGACATGGGAGGATTGTGGAAAGGCACTGGAGGCCAATAAATACTTGAGTGGTTTATCCTGTGTCCTCCCTGCAAAGCGGGTGGCTTACTTGGGCACTAGCCAGTACCCCTAGCCAGGCCAATTAGCCCATACTGAAAGCACCACTAAACTCAGGTGAGAGGGTTTTGTGAGTGGACAGGAGTGGGGTCAGAGGCAGCACCTGGGTGAGAGCCTGAAGATGCATTAGACGGAAACAACCTTCAGTCTCAACTGAGCTGTGCTGGAGTCAGACTGGTGACCATCTCTGTAACCCATTGGCAATGCCCTGAGGCATCCATCCCTCAATTAATGCTAGCTTAGAGGAGGTCCCATAGGAGGATAAATATTACATACAAGAACACAGAGGTTTTAATGTCAAACAGTAGGAGATGCTGGAACTGATGCTAGCTATGGAACCTAGCCCTTGGCTGCATTATGTGTTATGAGACAGTCTTTCATAACATGATCACAAAGTATTTTTTCCACATGGATTTTTTAGCAGGACTTGAACCCTTGGCTTTTCAGAGTCACAACACAGATCTTCTTGTGCTAAAGGAATACCTGGTAATATAAGTAAGCTGGACACACATAAGTCCATGGGTCTGGATCTAATGCATCCAAGGGTGATGAGGGAGTTGGCTGATGTGATTGCAGAGCCATTGGCCATTATCTTTGAAAACTCGTGACGATCAGGGGAGATCCCAGACGATTGGAAAAAGGCAAATATAGCGCCCATCTTTAAAAAAGGGAAGAAGGAGAATCTGGGGAACTACAGACCAGTCAGCCTCACCTCAGGCCCTGGAAAAATCATGGAGCAGGTCCTCAAGGAATCCATTTTGAAGCACTTGGAGGAGAGGAAGGTGATCAGGAACAGTCAACGTGGATTCACCAAGGGCAAGTCATGCCAGACCAACCTGATTGTCTTCTATGATGAGATAACTGGCTCAGTAAATATGAGGAAAGTGGTGGATGTGACGTGATATATCTTGACTTTAGCAAAGCTTTTGATACTCCCATATTATTCTTGCCAGCAAGTTAAAGAAGTATGGATTGGATGAATGGACTGTAAGGTGGATAGAAAGCTGGCTGGATAGTTGGGCTCAATGGTTAGTGATCAATGGCTCGATGTCTAGTTGGCAGCCGGTATCAAGTGGGAGGCCCCAGGGGTTGGTCCTGGAGTCAGTTTTGTTCAGCATCTTCATTGATGGTCTGGATGATGGGATGGATTGCACCCTCAGCAAGTTCGTGGATGAAGCTAAGCTGCAGGGAGAGGTAGATATGCTGGAGGGTAGGGATAGGGTCCAGAGTGATCTAGACAAATTGGAGGATTGGGCCAAAAGAAATCTGATGAGTTTCAACAAGGACAAGTGCAGAGCCCTGCACTTAGGACAGAAGAATCCCGTGCCCTGCTACAGGCTGGGGACCAACTTGCTAAGCAGCAGTTCTGCAGAAAAGGACCTGGGGATTACAGTGGACGAGAAGCTGGATCTGAGTCAGCAGTGTGCCCTTGTTGCCAAGAAGGCCAATGGCATTTTGGACATTAGTAGGAGCATTGCCAACAGATCGAGGGATAGTGCCCTCACCAGTGCCTCTATTCGGCACTGGTGAGGCCACATCTGGAGTATTGCATACAGCTTTGGGCCCCCCACTAGAGAAGGGATGTGGACAAATTGGAGAGAGTCCAGCAGAGGACAACGAAAATGATTAGAAGGAGTCCGGTGGCACCTTAAAGACTACCTCCTTGTTGTTTTTGTGGATACAGACAACCATGGCTACCCCCTGATACTTGAAAATGATTAGGGGGCTGGAGCACATGACTTATGAGGAGAGGCTGAGGGAACTGGGCTTATTTAGTTTGCAGAAGAGAAGAATGAGGGGGGATTTAATAGTAGCCTTCAATTACCTGAAGGGGGATTCCAAAGGGAATGGAGCTAGGCTGCTCTCAGTGGTGGCAGATGACAGAACAAGGTGCAAATGGTCTCAGGTTGCAGTGGGGGAGGTCTAAGTTGGATATTAGGAAAAACTATTTCACTAGGAGGGTGGTGAAGCACTGGAATGGGTTACCTAGGGAGGTGATAGAATCTCCATCCTTAGAGGTTTTTAAAGCCAAGCTTGACAAAGCCCTGGCTGGGATGATTTAATTGGGGATTGGTCCTGCTTTGAGCAGGGGGTTGGACTAGATGACCTCCTGAGGTCCCTTCCAACCCTGATATTCTATGATTCTTTATGTGGACCAACTACTAGAGGGTGGTGTGACACCCACTTTGCCAGTGAACTACCCAGATAATCTGTGGCTAGCTCTGGGAGGGGAGTGTGGTCTAGTGTTTACTGACAGGCTGGCCGGACACATAAGTATGACAGATTTTTTTATTATTATTATTATTATTATTATTTAAAGAAAGGCAGTTTTGCAGGATGGTTGAGATTTGGGTCTCCTATGTTAGAGGCCTGGGTTCTATTCTCAGTTCTGCTAGAAATTACCTTATCTGTAAAGTGGGTGGGATAATAGTTGCCTCTCCCATAGTGTAGAGGTATGAGGCCTTGGTGTCCCCTAGACTGCAGAGTATTTTTGTACAAAGGGTCTGTCTGCTTGGGGTGCAGGCTGTGGGCTGGCTCAAGGAGGTAGGACAGAATCCTAAATATAGGAGTGTCCTGCAAAATTTTAGATGAGTGGAAACCTACATAGTCAGTGATCAGCTCTCTGCCATCAAGAGTAGGAGACGCAAGGGGGCTCTGCCCCCAAGGAGCCAAACAGGAGACCTCTGGCACTTTTGTGTGTATGTTTCAGTTTGAATATTGAACCTGAAAAGACAACATACAAATTGGGGCTGGGCAACTTCCCTATAAAGATCAGAATGTAGGTGCAAACCAGTGCGGTTTATTATTTTTAAAAAATCATAATTTTTGAGCCAATCGCATGATTTGCGGGGGAGGAGGATCTGAGTTGGGAGTTTTGAATGCATGGTGTTGGCAGCGCTGAAACAGGGAGACGTTGCACTGACTGAAGTGATAAGATGTCATGATAGTGGGGCAGGGGTGCCAAGACCAGTCCTGGTCCTGTGGGTCAGGGCTCCCAATAACCTGCAAATCTGTGGAACTGTTTGTAAGGGACCTGACCTTTGGGCACTATCACATCAAATACAGCACTGATCCCAACCACTCACCACAGAGTGCAGGAGGGAAAATCCTGTCCCCTGCACCATCCCACCCCAGTCCCTGTGGTGGTGGTGGTGGGTACTTGCTGCCAGTCCGATGTCTCCTACAGAGGGATTTGCTGTGACAGACTCAGTTTTGCCAGATGTTGTGATTTGATTGGAGCTCTTGCCATACGTGATGTTTTTCTTAAAGCCACAGCTGCAGGAATGGAGAACGATTGCACAAGACTCTCAGCTTTCAATTAGAAAAAAGAAGATTTTGCCTCTCCAGTTTACAGAGAAAAGCGTGAAAACCTGACCTGAGTGTGGCCTGAAAACGCCAAACAGAAAACACCGGTTTATTTTTTAAATCTCATGATTTTTATTCTCATGATATTTTTGGTGGCCTGACTTGTGATTTTTGAAGGCCATGCTGCAGCCTTCTGGAGGCACGGGCCCAGGGAGAAGTGTGTGTGTGTGTGTGTAAAACAGAACAGAATCTCTGTCAGCTAGGGAAAGAGAGAGAAGGCAATGTAGGGAGGGTGTGCAGGAATGGGAAAGAATGGGGATGAAAGAAGAGAGAGCCACAGGGGAGAGAAATGAAGAGAGGAAATCCAAGGGAGGGGAGAATGGAAAGTAAGGTCAGCAGGAGTGGGAGGAAAGGTAAGAGAGAAAAACCAAGACAGAGATGGCTGTAACTCTAGGATGGGACACAAAGTGTCAGAGACAGAAATAGAGACAAACACAAGCATACTAGGATTTAGGCAACACCCACTTAGGCTTCCAGCTCCCCAGCCATCACCTCTCTTGGACGAAGACCTACATCTCTCTCCCTCCTGACTAGGGTATTTCCAGGCTGCACAGTTCCCTGCCTACACTGTGAATACCCTAGTAAGGACTGCCGACAAGACTAATGTGCTTTCTCTCCAGAGGTTATGAACCCGGTAATTGCCAGCAGTTAGAAGTTACCACACAGGTCTTTCTAAGCCAATACATTTATTCCTAAGGCAAAAGCAATACAGAGAAAGCATGCCAAAAACAAAAAAAGTATTTAGCAGTGATCATCCCACCTCTAACAAGGGCTCTGGTAGGAGTCTATCCTTCAAACCTCACACAGGGTTTTCCCTCTGGTTACAGGTTCATAACTGTCCCAGAGTCAGACCCAGAACAACCATGAATAGGTCAGTCTCTTCTTTATACACCTTGGGCCTTTCATCTTGAGATTCCAGGGGCAGATGATCAGCAGACAATGGTCCCTTCCTCAGGGCACAGCTTCATAAGGCTGGGTTTTCACATTCACCTCCCCCTGGAGAGTCCCCAGACAAACCACTTGACACTGTTTGTCCCCAAAAGTCCATTCTTGTCTGGCACATTGTTCAATACAGTCCTTTGAAGTTCCTAACAGTTCCCAGGGTTCACATCACAGCTCCCCCCAGAGAGGTTACATACAATCCCATCACACAATAATACATAACCTTTGCATTTAATTCAATGTATTAACTTAATCCAGATATACGTACACTTAATTCAGTAAGGTTTTTCATGGATATGGCAGGAAAATGCCCCATCTGTCACCATTTGTTAGATAGATAGATAGATTAGGTTAGATTTTATGGAAGAGAGTTGAGGTGGTTGGAATGAGGAGACTAGAGATTTCAGGAAGACTGCAAGAGGAAAAAGAGCAATAAAAATGGGGGAGACTCCCAGGGAAGAGTGTGGGGGATTAGCAGGTTTGGGGTCCATTTTGATGGAGAGGGGGTATTACTTTTGCCACTGTAATGACTGTTCCTTCCCCACATTATTTTGGGGGGTCTCTTTCAGGTCTGATCCCCACTATGGCTGAGGGAGAGACAACAGTGTTTGGTGCTGTTGGGGAACAGGTGATCCTGCCCTGTATTGACAAATTCCAAAATGAAGGGGTGACCTGGAAATACAATGACCTAGTTGTGATCCAGTATCAGAAGCAGCTCTTGAGAGGTAGAACTTCAAATTTACCACCCTTGTCCCTCAGACAGGGCTATGGAATCCCGTCTCTCCTAGGGAGCAGCTTTCACCCACTGCCTTCTTTCTCTCCCCAAAGGCAGAACTCCGTTTTTCAATCGATCTGAATTAAATAAGCAGGAGATGTCCAAGGGGAACTTCTCCCTGATACTGTCACAGCTGAGGCACTCTGATGCTGGCAAGTACGTCTGTGGAGTTGGTTCCAGAACTTTCATGGTCCAGCTGCAAGTGTTTGAAGGTGAGTGATCTGAGACAATGAGATAAGAGTGCAAGGAGCTTTGAGACAACACTTTGCTGAGGTCCCTGTCCTTTGTCCATCTCCTCTGGCCTGAGCTATTGCAGATCCCTTTCCTCCAGCTGAGCCCCACCTCCTCAGATTGCCCTTCTGCTGAGATCGCCATGCTCGCCTTCAGTCCCAGCCTTTCCCTTGAGGAAGCTGGGAGACAACAGGACTCACCGGACGGGCTCTCTCTCTTCACAGTTACAAGTTCTCCAAGTGGCTACCTCCTGCAGCATGAAAAACTCATGCTGACCATACAAGGTCCCTCAAGTGCCATCGTCACCTGGTATGACAACCGCGAGAACAAAGTGACAGCCACTCAGTCAAGAGAACTGAAGAATGGTGGACACAGTCTGCAGATACACAACCTCCGGGCTGAGGACAGTGGAACCTGGATGTGCCACATCACATCCCTGTCTGCTAAGCTGGACATACCCTATAAGGTGCTGGTGATAGGTAAGAGAAGCATGGATCTGAGTTTCAGAACTTTGCAGATGCCTAGAAAATGCAGAAGACGGTGGATAAATCTAAACAGATCCCATCTCCTCCTCACACACAGCCCCAGGGAAAGGTCACAGTCCATTTCCTGAGTTCCTAGTTCCCAGTGTCCTGAGCAATGCAGCACCAGGGCCTTCCTCTCAGGATCCCCAGGCTCACAGACCCCTTAAGCACTGAAGGTTGGCTCCTGAGCTCCTGTTCCTTGGCTCAGTCTCACCCCGTTCCCCCTTGTTCTCCTAAACAGTCCCCCTCCCCCAGGGATTTGTGCATCTCAGACTCATGCAGATGATTCTCATTTCCTTGTTCCAGTTGTAGCTTTGCTTGGCTGGATGGATTTAGCTCTTTGACTCTCTCCCAAGAACCCAACCCTTCTGGGTTATTGTGCTCAGTTCTGGAGGAGCTCAGAGAAAAGCCACAACAGTTCAGGACTCCAGATGGGGGTCTCCCTAGGGCTAGACAGAGGGATGGACTATCTCCTCCCTGCTCCATGGTGAGGTTGCAAAATTGATTATGAGACGATTGCTCCCCACACTTCCATATGTTCTCCTCTGAATTCAGGTTTTCATCATTTGAACCAGGAGACACTCTACAAAGCTGTTAATTCCACTGTGTCCTTCTCCTACTCTCTGAGCACTGACCTGCAGAAGATAAGAGAGCTGGAGTACATCACGGGCTTGGAGTGGAAACCAATGGCAGACAACGAGTACCTGGAGAAGTTTAATTTCAGCGTCACCTCTAAAGAGCTGCCCTTGTTTAAGCAAATAGCCAACATGCAGTTTACATGGAAACTCAGCAATCACCTGGAAGTGAAACTGCCCAAAGTCCAGTTCAAGGATGCTGGATGGTATCAGTGCCAGATCACAGTCAGCCGTGGCCGTGTGGAGAAGGCCATCCACCTAGTGGTGATGACAGGTGAGAGGAAGTTGTGGCCCCTATGGACACTACAGAGGAAATGGGGCAGGAGTATGGGAGGTGCCTCCCAAAAAGGTGCCTACCATCTAGAGACCCCGAGACTCTCTCAGACCCTATGGAAAGGTTGTTCCCATCCCTTCCTTTGCATGTTCCCCTCTTGTTCTCTTTGCAGTCTCTGCTGACCCTGTTGAGCCGCTCTCCAAATGGGCTAACGTGACCCTGCTCTGCAAGCTCTCGGTTCCTGTCCCACATAATGCCCAGCTGTTCTGGGAGCATGTGAATGGGACTGAGAAGGAATTAAATATGTTGGGATGCAATGAGGTGATGGTGAAGACCAAGACTGTGGGGCTGTGGAGATGCAGCCTTAAGGTGGAGAACAACGTGATGACCAGCATTGACTACACTGTGGGTAGGGAGACCACCACTACTTCCTCCATTCAAAGTCCCATGCTGTCTCTCTCTGTGTCTCTCTCTACATCTATCTCTCCCATTCACTCACTTCTCTCTCCACAGTGAAGGCTGCTGAACGGAATAGCTGTGTGTGGAGCTGGGCAGGGGTTGGAGCTGGCATAGTGCTGCTTCTCCTTGCAAGCCTATGTACTTACATCTATATTACCCAGCAGCAGAGAAGGGTGAGTGCCCAAGTCCCAGCAGACAGCAAAGGAGAAAAGTCTCTTCATGGCACTCTCTGAGGATTCCCCCCCATCAGAGGAGCAAGTGGGAGGGAACTAGGCACCACCACCCCTAGGGTAGGGGCTCTTAAAATAGCCATATCCCAGATAAATCTCTGAGGAGCAAGGCTGTCATAAATATAAAGGGAAGGGTAAACACCTTTAAAATCCCTCCTGGCCAGAGGAAAAACCCTTTTGCCTGTAAAGGGTGAAGAAGCTAGGATAACCTCGCTGGCACCTGACCAAAATGACCAATGAGAAGACAAGATACTTTCAAAAGCTGGGGGGAGGAAGAAACAAAGCCTGTCTCTCTGGCTGTTTGATGCTTTTGCCGGGGACAGAACAGGAATGGAGTCTTAGAACTTAATAAGTAATCTAGCTAGATATGCGTTAGATTCTGATTCCTTTAAATGGCTGAGAAAATAAGCTGTGCTGAATGGAATGTAGATTCCTGTTTTTGTGTCTTTTTGTAACTTAAGGTTTTGCCTAGAGGGATTCTCTATGTTTTGAATCTGATTACCCTGTAAGGTATTTACCATCCTGATTTTACGGAGGTGATTCTTTTTACTTTTTCTTCTATTAAAATTCTTCTTTTAAGAATCTGATTGCTGTTTTTCATTGTTCTTAAGATCCAAGGGTTTGGGTCTGTGTTCACCTATGCAAATTGGTGAGGATTTTTATCAAACCTTCCCCAGGAAGGGGGGTGTAAGATTTGGGAGGATTTGAGGAGGAAAGATGTTTCCAAACAGTCTCTTTCCAAATTATATCCCTGTTAGACGTTTGGTGGTGGCAGTGAAAGTCCAAGGGCAAAGGGTAAAATAGTTTGTACCTTGGGGAAGTTTTAACCTAAGCTGGCAAAAGTAAGCTTAGGAGGTTTTCATGCAGGTCTCCACATCTGTACCCTAGAGTTCAGAGTGGGGAAGGAACCTTGACAAAGGCAAATAAAATCTGTACAGTCAGGGCAGGCAGAGGGTTTGAAACCACTGGCCACTTTGGAGGGCAGAACTTTAAATATAGAAATGAGGGTTCATGCCACACTGCTTTCTCTCCTGGCAGCAACGGGCTGAAAAGATAGCACGAGCCAGGCGAGACTTGCTTGAAAGGAGAACTTGTCAGTGTCAACGGTAAGTACAAATCCAGGCCCCTCTGACTAGGGAGAGATGCTGGCCTCAGGAGAGTGGGGCTAGCTGCTAACTCAGGGATGGGGGAATAGGACATAGGGCCCTTCTCTTCAGGCTGCGCCTAGACTGTACTTCCCTCAGTTGCAATTAACTCATGTTAGTTATCTCAGTTGTGGTAAACACAAATCAGTGCATCCTCACAATATTCACACTCATGTTTAGTGGCTTTACAGTTACACCCCAAATCTACACTAGCACTGCACTGGCTTGTGTTAGCAGCAATTTCTTCTGGGCATTCATCCCAGAATTCCTAGTGTTGCTCCAGACTGTAGTGTGTTATGAGTGATTGCTAATAGCCTTCTAGGAGGCCTCACAGGTGCCAGAGGGATTGTGGGAGGAGAAGACAAATTCCCAGAATCCCTATAACAGTGTCCAAGTAAACCAACGCATGCTGCTTTGCTTGCTGACTGCTTTCATGAGAACAAGGGTTTCTCACTGAGTGGAGAGCTGGCATTTCCTAAGATTTGATGATTATATGCTCTGAGGCAGCAGAAGCAGCTGTGCAGAGACAGTAGCAGCTGTTCAGTCATTACTAGCAGAGAGCCATGCAGTGGCAATCTTAGCTAGAAGAGAAGCCCCGCATGCACCAGTGAGTGGTGTAGGGTCTCTGGACAAAGCACTCAGTGCCCACAAGCTATTCTGGGCAAAAACCAAAAGCACAGAGTGGTGGGGGCTGCATCATTGTTCTCCAATCCTGGGATGACCAGCAGTGGCCGTAGAACTTCAGTTCAAGGAAGGCTATGTTTCTGAAAGCCCAGGGAAATGCCTCCTTATGCACAATGACTGCTCTGTGAGGAAGATGATTGCTATTATGGTTGCACCTTTCACATCTGCAAAAGCAGCAGTGAGCTTTCTAGGCCTGCCTGGATTGCCAAGACTGAACTGCTTGCTTCAGTCTTTAGGTGGCCAGACACTAGACCTCATGAACCCCATAATAGGAAAACTGTTGCCAACAGCATAAGAGATGCCCTGTACTGTCATATGCTGGATTTATATGCGGAGTATACTAGTGAACTCTCAGGATTTTATTTGCCTTCTTATCACTTGTCATTAAACGTTACTAAGTTCCTAGCAAATGTTATTTTGCATGAGGAGTGAGGGCTGAGTGGAAGAGACATAATGGTGATTATGTGCTGGGTGACCGGAACATAGCTCTGCTTTCATTTGTTTTTATGTGAGTGCAGGTAGCATAGTTAGTTATGATTCAAAAATAGCCCTTATTTGAAATAGACAAAACAGTACAACTACATCTGAAAACAGAACAAGCTGTGCAAAACGTGAAGCAATAGTCGCTCTTTAACTCCCCTAAAGAGCTCAGTGCAGCCACATTGGAAATAAAGTGCATTAAGTCTCACAAATGCCTAATCAACTTTGTATAAATATTGCACTTCCCCCCCAGCTACATAAAGTCCTTCTGTGTTCTATGCCTTCCAGTCTGGCCAGAGGTCAGGAGACTGGCAACCTCAGTGGGGTCACTGCATAGAGTAGGGGGCATCTCACCTCTACAGTACCAGAGCTCATGCTGTTTAATTTCTTTCTCTTGCAGTCAGCTGAAGAATGACTATTCCGATGCTTGAGACAGAAGGGTGAATGAAGTCTCTGCCAATGATAAGCCATCTTGCAGCCCACTTTGCTTGCTTGGATCCAACCCACCTTTCCTTCCTCCAGTGCAATGCTTTGTTCTTTCATCTTTCTCCCAGCCCATTGCCAGGAAGGGATCTTATCAGGGTGGGGATGGGATACAGTGAGCAGGACAAGCACCCACCCCAGGGTGATGGCTCAGCCTCAGCTCCATCAGGGAAAGTACTGAATGTAAAGTATATACGGATGTATTTTGCGCATATGCTTGATTTGACCTCCTGGATTTTATCTCAGATGTTTCCTGTGCCTGCTCCAAATGCAATAAATCACTTTAGAGTTTTCATTGAAAAATCTGAATTTATTTGCCTGATGCACCAATCATCTCCCCCTAATACAACCCCTGCTACTGGCCTCCCCAAACACTCCCAGCCTGCCCTCTCCCCACAACCCACCTCCCCTGCTGCCAGAAGCCCTCCCTGATTCCTGCATCCTGTGTTCCCCTTCCTTCCCCACCACCGCCACCTTCCCCAATCCAGCCCTCCAGACAGTGACAAGGAATGCTGGAGACTTTCCCTTAACTTGGTATTTCCATGCTTCCAAGGATTTGGGGTGGGTCCTGAGGTAGCCTTACTGTCACTAAACATAGGTTTTGTTTTTTAATTTACTTGTTGTTACAGAAGGTTGGTTACCGGGTTGAGTAGATCCCTGTGTATGGGGAGATTTTGGCAAACCAGTAAAGTGCCTGAAATCACAATGGCTTATTACTAAAAGCAGCCAAGTCAGCAGGCTGTAAATTGGCCATGTCACAGCCTCAGCTTTGCCAAGGCAGGAGGGCAGGGGGGTTTGGGCAGCTTGACCCCGCATTCTTCCTGATAAGAATTGTGTTGAAGTTACTGATACATGTGTAACCCTTCTATCCGTCAGAGTTGGCAGCAACAAGGGCCGGGTTCAGTATCTAGGGGTTCCATTCCAATAACACAATGCAAAACCAGCTCGAGCCCCCACCCAGTGACCTGGAACAAATATATACCACCCCTGCTGGGTGCCTCCAAGAGGCAATACTTCTCCTTTCGCAAGCGGAGTCTGAGTGTAGCAAAAAACCTTTTAATAACAGAGAGAAACAATGTGGCATTATGTTGGGGAAACACCACCAACAGGATTCATAACACAACCCATGAGCAAAAAACCCACCCCAAGGAAATTGGGGCGTGTGCTTTCCCTTTGGTTCTTGAGTCCGGCAACCCAAAAGTCACCCAAAGTCCCAAAAGTCCAACAACCCAAAAGTCTCTGTCCCTGGTCAGGGCAGCCCCAGAGTTCAAAAGTTTATCTGCAGAATTTTACCTCCCAACCTGGGTGGAGATGGAGGGGGTTAAGGGGCACCTTACGTGGCCCAAAGCTGATTGCCCCACCACTCCATGGGGCTCTGCTCTGCCAGCCATCCCACAAACTGCTCTGCTCCACCAGCCGCTCAGCTCTGCCAGCCACCCAGCAAACTGCTCCACAATGTATCTTCAGGCTCCCCCACTACTTAACACAACACTCAGTGATTTCAGCTCTTAGTAAGTTTAGCTCTTTTCAGCTTGTGGTACAGGAGCCTCAGTGCTGGTGCACCATTAGCCCAAAGTGAATTCAGCTCAGCAGCCAGTAACTAGACTCCTAATGGAATCAAAATTAGCATAGAATATAAAGGTTGGAAGGGACCTCAGGAGGTCATCTAGTCCAACCCCCTGTTCAAACCAGGACCAAGCCCCAATTTTTGCCCCAGATCCCTAAACAGCCTCCTTAAGGGTTGAACTCACAACCCTGGGTTTAGCAGGCCAATGCTCAAACCACTGAGCTATCCCTCCCCAATAGCTCTGATATTCCATGGTGGAGAGAAGAAAGTGCAATTAGCATGTAAGGCCCTCACCAGGAAGCCCATACCACCAAACATTAATACCTCTCTCCATTCACTGGCCTTTGGAACCCATGACCCTTGCCTAGCGAATGCTGCTTAGTTGATGGTGAGTCCCTCCATCATAACAAAAGGCCAAATACAGTTCCACTGTCCTTGATTCACATAATCAGGATAATAACCGTTTATTCCTGCTCCAATAACAGAGAAACTGGGGCTCCTACAGCAGCCAAAGTGACCATCTAGGCAGGGTGGGTGTGCCTATGCAAATGAATCAGCCCCTGAAGTTCTTTTCCAGAACCCACCATAACTCGCCACCAGATGTCAGGGTAGAGCTCATCCTGACTCTGCTTACACATGTGTTTTAGAAGAGCAGGATGTGCCCCAGGAATGTCTATTGGGACCTCAAGGCTGCAAACTCTGGTAAAACCCACACCTGGTTAATCAATAATCAGAAGAAAGCCTCTTGCTTGGCCATTGGAACTGCTTGCTTAACAAGTTTTCTTTAAGGGACATGTCATTCTATTACTAATGTATCAATAAGGGGGAAAAGTTTGAGGTAGGGGGGACTCTCCAGGACTGGACTCTCCCTCTGGATGCATCTTGTGTTCCCCACTGGCAGACAGGCTGCCGCTGTGCCACTCGAGCCACACTCAGCTTCGGTAATTATCGCGGGTTGGGGGTGTTTTACTAACCTATTGCAGACGTGTGTAAGTGCTTGAGACTAAGTAAAGTGTAGCTTTCAGTGAAAGCACTCTTGTGTTGTCCTGTCTGTGCCAGCCATCTATCGGTCAGATGGCTGTGTCTCCCCTGATTTATTTCCTGACACCACCTTGCATAGAGTAAAAGTTACCGACAGCTTTGGGTTGAAAGAACCCCAGGTAACAGAATTTGGAGGCCTCAGCGAGGATTGGTAGAGAGGAAGGAGACAGATGGTACAAACAGTTTGTAGTTTGTGCTTTGCAATAGGAGGTAAAAATGGTGGGATGGGGTCGCTCCCTACAAATTCCCCTGTCGCAGTTCGCAAGTTAATTTATGGATACATTCTGTTACTGGGACTCAGAAATCAGGCTGATTGCCTGCTCGAGTGGAGAAATTATGTCCAGAGACAGGAAACCAACTCCAGGACACAGCCCCAAAGATCAGAGCTGCCAGACCTTAACACTCTGCCAATGAAACCGTGAAGAAACTGGAGTCCCCCAGATGGACCTGATTCTGACTGGCCATCAGGAAAAGTCCTTCTGTCTTATTGGGAGTGGTGAGCACTGCATGTGTGTGCAGTTTTTTTTTGGTGATTGTTAAGAAATAGAGGTTATGTAGGATATTACTGTGTAAGGCTCTTTGACTGGTAAAAGACCCTGTAAATCTGCAAAAGATTAAGCCCTGAGTCCAATGGGAAAGGGAGTTTGCTCTGAGTCCACAGGGAATGGGTGTTTGCCCAGAGACCCTGGAGGAGTAGAGCCCACGGCGGGGTAAAGTTAGGTGCTTTTTGCCTGGAGTCCTAGGAACTGGGGAAAAGGTGGGTGCCCTTGAATGTGTGAGTGATAGAGAATTTTGTGTGGGTAACGAATCTGGTGGAGAGAATGCAGGCAGCCTAAGGTTTTTTGGACTGAACTGATAGACAGTAAATAATAGCGAAGTACCTGTGCCTTTTGTCAGAAAGGGTCACTACCTATCTGGCAGAATGACCACCCCAGAGCAACAAGAGAGAAAGGGAACAAAGAAAAGGGACCAGGAGGGGTGGGGGCTAGTTGAGGAGCCCACCCACCTTGCTAAATGGTTAGTGGGACAAAGCCTGTGCCTATGGGAAGGGGTGGTTTAGTGAGGAAAGCAGGATCAGGCCCAGACAAGCAGGCAGGCAACAGATAAAGAGATTGGAAAACAGGTTGGGAGCCCTGAGGGGCATACTGGGTTGGGAGCCCTGAGGGGCATACTGGCAGGAGTAAGTACAGGCATGGGGAATTCAGAGTCAGTGGTTACTGCCACCAGCACTCGTATCCCCGGGAGAGGAACATAAGGTGAGGAGGCGACAGCAGTGCGGTGATGAGGACATGAACACAGATTTCTCTAAAACTGCGGTCCCCAGCAATCTGGAGATCATGGTGTTACTGGGGCAGACTCATGCCGTGGAACACCGATTCTGGGCACAGGAAACAAGGACAGAGTGTTGCAGGTTTGGGATGATTCCCAGTGGCTCCAAAACTTTAGCATGCGAAAAGGGCACTTTCATGGAACTTTGTGACTTGCTTTACCCTGCCCTGAAGCGCAAGAATACCAAGATGAGAGCAGCCCGCACAGTTCACAAGAGAGTGGCAATAGCCCTGTTGAAGCTTGCAACGCCAGACAGCTACTGGTCAGTCAGTAATCAATTTGGAGTGGTCAAATCTACTGTGGAGGCTGCTGTGATCCAAGTAGCCAACACAATCATTGAGCTGCTGCTATCAAAGGTAGTGACTCTGGGAAATGTGCAGCTCGTACTAGATGGCTTTGCTGCAATGGGATTCCCTAACTGTGGTGGGGCTATAGACGGAACCCATATCCCTATCTTGGGACCGGACAACCAGGGCAGCCAGTACATAAACTGCAAGGGGTACTTTTCAATGGTGCTGCAAGCACTGGTGGATCACAAGGGACGTTTCACCAACATCAATGTGGGATGGCTGGGAAAGGTTCATGATGCTCACATCTTCAGGAACTCTGCTCTGTTTAAACAGCTGCAGGAAGGGATTTACTTCCCAGACCAGAAAATAACTGTTGGGGATGTTGAAATGCCTACAGTTATCCTTGGGGACCCAGCCTACCCCTTAATGCCCTGGCTCATGAAGCCGTACACAGGCAGCCTGGACAGTAGTTCCACTATAGGTTGACCAAGTGAAGAATGGTGGTAGAGTGTGCATTTGGATGTTTAAAGGGTTGCTGGCACTGTTTGCTGACTAGGTCAGACCTCAGCAAAACCAATATTCCCATTGTTATTGTTGCTTGCTGTGTGCTCCACAATCTGTGTGAGAGTAAGGGGGAGACGTTTATGGCGGGGTGGGAGGTTGAGGCAAATCGCCTGGCCTCTGAATATGCGCAGCCAGACACCAGGGTGGTTAGAAGAGCACAGCAGGAAGCGGTGCGCATCAGAGAAGCTTTGAAAACCAGTTTCATGACTGGCCAGGGTACTGTGTGACACTTCTGTTTGTTTCTCCTTGATGAAAACCCGCCCCCTTGGTTGCCTCTAAATTCCCTGTAAGCCACCCGCCCTCCCCCCTTCAATCAAAGCTTGCTTGCAAAGGAAATAAAGTCACTATCATTTAAAAAACATGTTTTATTTATTAATTGATTATAAAAATAGGGAGATAACCCACAAGGTAGCCCAGGTGGGGTGTGGGAGGAGGGGAGGAGGGAAGGAAAAAGCCACTTTAAAACTTCTTGA